TAGAGGCTAGCAACCAAGGTGAAAATGGAAAATTTTTGCTCTTTTTAATGGTGATTAATAAACAGCCATTAAATTTTTTAAAAACCAAAAAGGGCTTCAAAGTTTGGTTTCTTCATTTTATGGGATGGAATAACATAACAAGTGTAAATAGTTTTCGTTTTATGTCCATGTTCCTCCAGATTATGGTGCTAAACTAACCAATTTCAAATAATATTTGAACGAAACGAAATAATAATAACCTGAGCATAATCTTGATAATATTAAATTGGCATAAGTTTTTATTTTTCTAGGGTTGGGGTGTTTTGTAATTATCTTAAAGTGGTAAGGGTATTTTTGGAAGGTAGTAAGGAAAAAAAGGAATGAGAATCGGATCAACTACCCCTCCCTAGTTGATCTGATTCTTGGTTTTGAGGGGATTTAATTACGAATTTTGAGGTGAGACCCACATATTTTTTCATTCCTAATTGCAAGTAAATGCAGGAGAAGTCAGGAATGGAAATCATTCCCTTTCTTCCCGTACCCATTAACATGCAATTCATAGTTTTCTACCTCAACGTAATGCTAAGGTAAGAGTGCATTGCTTGTTTGTTTGTGTATTCACTTTTGTACATAAAAAGCTTCACAAAACTTAAGAAGTTATACCAAACTCTACCAACCAAGTGCCAAAAATAACCACATATATCTTAACCATTCTAAATAAATTGAAAAAGTCTGAATCCGATTACCAGAAATAGTACCATATTCAAGTGCCCTACCATTTTTGGCCACCCTAAAGAAATCATGCAGATCCTATATTTATATTAACCACACACAATCTTAAATATCCCCTTCAACATTTAAAACTTGAAGGTTTGGTTGGTGATGATAATTAAAATGGGCATTAAACATGCTAAATTAAGGTGTGTATATAATAAAGAAAAGAAAGGGGAGGGTGGAAAAAATTCTAAGGTGATTTAAATGCGAAATTAATTACCAAAGAAGCTGCTGTTACGGCACCCGTGTCTCTCACCCCCACCCCTTATTTTTGGTTTCTTTCTTTCTTATCCTTGTAATTTTTTGTTTTACTTTTACATACATAAAAAAAGATAGAGATTTGTGCCGTTTAAACCGGAAAGTCAATAGGGCACGTTTTGCTAATCTCACGACACCTTTCACTTTCACCCACTTTCATTATTATTTCTTCACCTTAATTCCATATTTTATTTCTTAATTAATCACATCCCATTGTTTTCCCTTTTTCTTTTTTCATACGGTTCATTGAATTAATTGCTGCGTAATACCAAAACTATCCTTCAAAACATATGGCATGCATCACAACTAGATAGGGGATAAATTTGTCACTTGAAACAAAATTGTATGTTTTATTAGGGTTGGTTGGTTTTTTTTTCTTTTCGTATTGAGCATTCTGAATTTACCAACAAAAAAAAGAAGAGCATTCTGAAATTGTCACCACTCAAATAAAAGAAAATACCAAAAAAAAACAGAAAAAGAAGAGAAGAGTTTGAAAAAGAACAAAAATAATATCCTCCCTTTGGTTATAATACCCAAATAAGCTTTCTTCCTTAATGTCATTTCATTTTGCATGCTCAAATTCTCCCTCTCTCTCTGTCTCTCACTGTTGGTAAGTTTTATTTTATATATATTTTTACTTATTTATGTGAATGACTGGTTTATGTTATGTCTGTCATTTCTTCATCTGGGTTTTATGCAATATGCATTGTATATTCCTCAAACATATATTATTCTATTCCTCATTAATCCAAAGGATTATAAAGCATAGAAACACATAGAATACAATAGACAAATAAAATAATGAATAGTTTTGTTCTATTGAGGGTAATTCTTAGTTTTACATTATCTTACTTTGGCCTCCATGAAAGTGGAAGGACACAGCTCCTCATTTGAAATTTCAAAGGGTACGGGGGTGTTCATTGGCAAAGGTGGAGTTTTGGGTCCTTGTTTCAAAGGGGTGCTCATTTTGATTGATGGGCAGACTGGGCACCCTCAGCCTCAAACCCAACATGGTATTGGTATTGGGTATCTTCTAAATCTTTCGTTTTTCTTGAGAGGAGTGTCAGAAATTTGCAGAAAGGAGATGGAAAAAGCATTGGGCATTGTAAATACAGATACCCAATTTTGTACTACTTATTAGATATGTGATATCTTTGGAATGTCAGGCAAGGCAATATAGGCTTATAATAGGCTTGTCAGTCTGGTTTCAGAGAGAGAGAGAGAGAGCGAGAGAGGGAGAGAGAGAAAGAGAGACTTTTGTATCATCTGAGTCTTTATTGCCATAGCCTAAAAGGTTTTCTGCTTTTAGCCTCTGTGTGCTTCAAAGGCCTGAGCTTTTATTCTCGAGATTTCGATGGGTTCTTGCTGTTACATCCTCGGTACTCTGATGGAATTTATGGCTGTGACAGCTATGCTCAACCTTTTGCTTATCTTGGGCTTTGAATCTCTCCCTTGTTACTGGGAGTCATTTCATCGGCTCAGAGTTATCGTCAAGGCGGTCTTCATTGTTATTTCAGTTTCTCTCTGCTGCAATCTGCATGGTGGGATTTTAAAAACTTTTTGGGGTTTCTCTTTTTGTTCTTTCTTTTCAACAAATATTTATGTTCACTTATCCTTTAAGTTTTGTCTTCTTCCTCTGCACTTTTTTGGCTTTTTACTCATCTGTTCGGATTGTGTCTTTGGCAATATTCTTGATGTGTTTCATGAGTTCCTGTCTGCATTTTGCATGCAGTTAGTTTTCACCTACAACTGTTGCTCATTTTCAACTCTTTTTCTCATTTCATTTTTTTAAGTAAAACCTTTTGTTTTATTCACTTGTATTTATGGTTTTATGCAGTGAAGAACAAGTAGGGAGTGGTCTGGTTAATGTTTGAACAGGAAAGGGCAGGGGAGACTTGGATGTGGTGTGACGGTTTTGGCAATGGCATCCACATCTTGTGCCAGCAAGAGCCCACTGCTCATGAAAGACACATCCTCTCTCTATCTTCCATACCCAGCACCTCTTGCTAAACACGAGGAAGTTGTAGCCAATCCTAAGCTGTTCATGGCTACTTTGGAAAAGCTCCATGCTTCAATGGGAACCAAGTTCATGTAAGCTTTATCTTTTCATCCTCTACCTTCAACTTCTCAGCTTTTTGCTAGTACCAATTAACCTGTAACGTTAAAAAAATTTGCTATTGAAGGCAAGAATCATGAACTAAGGATTTTGCATCCATTGTTTTGGGTCTGCATGTTTGATTTATGGTGTGTTACTCGTGCGTAGTCATCATTTCCAGTTCCATGATATGCCAATCAAGTTCTCACCTTTTCCCAAAATCTCTTTTGATTAAGTAATTGGATTTTTCTGAGATATCTATTTTTGGTGGGTTTTTACATATTTTTCTTTTCTGTCGAACAAAATTTTCTGTTAAATTGTGCTGAACAGAGCACAAAGACCACACTTTTACTTAATAGGTACATGGCCTTTTTCGGTAAGGTGAGCATGCTTCCATCTTGCAAATTTGAAAAGTTAAAGAAAAGTTTTCCTAACTGCTCACTGAAAAGGAACTTTATCCAACTCCTAGATCTGGTACTTTTGTTTTTGAGGATTTTTCTTTATGTATATTTCTGTGAAAATTATTTAAGTCAGCATTTTCCTTTTCATGATTCCTTGAAATAACTCAGCCTTGATGTTATTGCCAATTTGATGCCTACTCATGTGGTATAGGAATGCCGATGTGGCACACATCTACACCAATTTTGTTTTTCGTTGCGGGTTGGTTATGTAGGATTTGTTTAAATTCTAGGAAGGTGAACTTTACATAGCAGGTTTACAGATCATCAAGAACTTTATAAAGGTAGATTATCAAGAGCTTTACTTGAATTGGTTGAGATCCAAATCTTCATATGAAATTCTTCAAGAACTTGGGGTTTCTCAACGATATTTTATGTTCCTGGTACATATCTTATAAACCATTCGGTTAGTTGAGGGTTGATGGATCGTGTGCATGAGCACAATGTTAGGATGACTGTATGAATGTGGTCCAGAATACATTTCTCCACTAGACACTTCAAGCTCTTTGGCAAGTTTATGATGTAATGGTTAAAAAGTCATTTGTTTATTTATTGTTGGCAACCATTATATCAGTTTCAGCATTGAAAAGCATTGGCTGCCTTTTTAGCATCTTTAAATTCTGGAGTCTACTCACTGCTCTTTCATGAAATTGACAATTTCAGATGGAATGCTTTGATGTGGTGTTATGGAGGAGTAGATGTAGATCAGTAGTGTCCAATAGCATATCTCCCCAATATAGTTGACGATCTCCAAATTTAACTTATAGTTTAAGGCAAGGCTGACTTGCATTGGACTGCGTTTGCATGACAAATATTAGAGCTATGTCTTTGTCATGTAGATTTATAGGTACCATCTCAATAAACTTTTTGACTAAAACCACTCTCTTGTGTGTTATAATTGTTAGGCAGGGTAGCATGTCTGCAAGGTAGAAGTAGCTTGTGCTTTTGTCGCAGATTGTGGAGTACCTTTTATGGGCATGTGTTTTCTCTTTTGTCCTCATGTCTTATAATTCTGGAGTTTCTGTCCTGCTGTTGACGTTGTCTCTGTTGTAATTGTAGGATCCCTATTATAGGAGGAAAAGAGCTAGATTTGCATCGACTCTTTGTGGAGGTAACTTCCCGTGGGGGCATTGAGAAGGTAAGAAATTCTAAGAAATTCTATATTTAAATAGTCACATCAAACCTTGTTACATACATTACATTGAAAGTTAAAGGTTATGTGCTTATTCGAATTTGCACGTGCTTTCCTTTTCAATTAGTTTGCTTATAAATTAATCTTATAACTTTCGACCAAAAAAATAAATTAATCTTATGACCGTCAAATGGTGTGCAAAATATTCATGCTTGATTTAAGAGTTGTGTAATAATTGCTTTTATTATATGTTTATCTGCATACATGTGTGTGTGTTTGTTGGCCTCTGTTTGTATCTGATTCTGATTCTGGGTATGGTATGAGTAATCAATCCGTTGAAGTGTGCTCATATAGAGGAAGCCTGTAGCATTCTCTTTACACAAACACACACACACACACACACCCACCCACCCACCTAGGCACACATGTAGAATGTTATATATTTGTGCTTCAATCCTTGTGAAAATCTTAATGTGTGTTTAGACTGTCTAAAGTTTCATGTTAGTCTGTGTTTCTCATATTTACTTACTTTTCTGATACCTGGTGGCTGCATGTGACAGTTTGAGGCTGTATATGGAAGTTAGAACTGTAAACTTTTACATTTATGACTAGTCTTTTCTTAAAAGTTGGATAGGGGTGCCTAATTACATGTAACAGTTGTTCCTCTTGTTCTCCAAAGAGGAGTACTACATAGTTAACTGATTTTCTAGTCCAATGGAGTTTGCAGATTATTAGAGATAGAAGATGGAAGGAAGTTACCGCTGTTTTCAACTTTCCATCCACAGCTACAAATGCTTCTTTTGTGCTGCGGAAATATTATAATTCATTGCTTCTCCACTATGAACAAATTTACTATTTTAAAGCTCAAGCATGGAATCCTCTCTCTTCTGGTGTGCCCATTGAACATGTAGCTTTCATTTGAATAAGTTCTTTGGAACAGTGCATTTTCATAACGCAACAATTTTTTTGGCAGATAATTCTCACAGCCCTTCAATGACAGCCGTTCCAGCTGCAAGGGGAGGAACTAAACGAAAAGCAGCTGATGCTCATGCTACTATGCATCAGCCAACACAGATAAACTCAGAATTACCTGGAGGTTCCTTCATTTTCTTCTTTCGAGCTTAGTTTCTCTCTTTTTTTTGGGAAAAAAAGCTAGATTTGCATCGACTCTTTGTGGAGGTAACTTCCCGTGGGGGCATTGAGAAGGTAAGAAATTCTAAGAAATTCTATATTTACATAGTCACATCAAACCTTGTTACATACATTACATTGAAAGTTAAAGGTTATGTGCTTATTCGAATTTGCACGTGCTTTCCTTTTCAATTAGTTTGCTTATAAATTAATCTTATAACTTTCGACCAAAAAAATAAATTAATCTTATGACCGTCAAATGGTGTGCAAAATATTCATGCTTGATTTAAGAGTTGTGTAATAATTGCTTTTATTATATGTTTATCTGCATACATGTGTGTGTGTTTGTTGGCCTCTGTTTGTATCTGATTCTGATTCTGGGTATGGTATGAGTAATCAATCCGTCAAAGTGTGCTCATATAGAGGAAGCCTGTAGCATTCTCTTTACACAAACACACACACACACACACACCCACCCACCCACCTAGGCACACATGTAGAATGTTATATATTTGTGCTTCAATCCTTGTGAAAATCTTAATGTGTGTTTAGACTGTGTAAAGTTTCATGTTAGTCTGTATTTCTCATATTTACTTACTTTTCTGATACCTGGTGGCTGCATGTGACAGTTTGAGGCTGTATATGGAAGTTAGAACTGTAAACTTTTACATTTATGACTAGTCTTTTCTTAAAAGTTGGATAGGGGTGCCTAATTACATGTAACAGTTGTTCCTCTTGTTCTCCAAAGAGGAGTACTACATAGTTAACTGATTTTCTAGTCCAATGGAGTTTGCAGATTATTAGAGATAGAAGATGGAAGGAAGTTACCGCTGTTTTCAACTTTCCATCCACAGCTACAAATGCTTCTTTTGTGCTGCGGAAATATTATAATTCATTGCTTCTCCACTATGAACAAATTTACTATTTTAAAGCTCAAGCATGGAATCCTCTCTCTTCTGGTGTGCCCATTGAACATGTAGCTTTCATTTGAATAAGTTCTTTGGAACAGTGCATTTTCATAACGCAACAATTTTTTTGGCAGATAATTCTCACAGCCCTTCAATGACAGCCGTTCCAGCTGCAAGGGGAGGAACTAAACGAAAAGCAGCTGATGCTCATGCTACTATGCATCAGCCAACAACACAAACACACACACACACACCTAGGCACACATGTAGAATGTTATATATTTGTGCTTCAATCCTTGTGAAAATCTTAATGTGTGTTTAGACTGTCTAAAGTTTCATGTTAGTCTGTGTTTCTCATATTTACTTACTTTTCTGATACCTGGTGGCTGCATGTGACAGTTTGAGGCTGTATATGGAAGTTAGAACTGTCAACTTTTATATTTATGACTAGTCTTTTCTTAAAAGTTGGATAGGGGTGCCTAATTACATGTAACAGTTGTTCTTCTTGTTCTCCAAAGAGGAGTACTACATAGTTAACTGATTTTCTAGTCCAATGGAGTTTGCAGATTATTAGAGATAGAAGATGGAAGGAAGTTACCGCTGTTTTCAACTTTCCATCCACAGCTACAAATGCTTCTTTTGTGCTGCGGAAATATTATAATTCATTGCTTCTCCACTATGAACAAATTTACTATTTTAAAGCTCAAGCATGGAATCCTCTCTCTTCTGGTGTGCCCATTGAACATGTAGCTTTCATTTGAATAAGTTCTTTGGAACAGTGCATTTTCATAACGCAACAATTTTTTTGGCAGATAATTCTCACAGCCCTTCAATGACAGCCGTTCCAGCTGCAAGGGGAGGAACTAAACGAAAAGCAGCTGATGCTCATGCTACTATGCATCAGCCAACACAGATAAACTCAGAATTACCTGGAGGTTCCTTCGTTTTCTTCTTTCGAGCTTAGTTTCTCTCTTTTTTTTGGGAAAAAAATTGGGGTGGGGGGCTGTATAGGCTTGTTTAGTACTACCTTTGAAATTCTTGCTGATTTGGTGCTTCTCCTTATTATTTTCCCCTCTCCCTCTTATTTTTTTGAAGAAACTTTTCTTTGGAGCAATTTTCGGTTTGGAGGATTGTTTTTTATATTTTCCATTTCACATTTTGTTCTAGCAGTTGTTAAACCATTATGCATAAACGCAGTATGAACAAAGTCTTCAGTCTACGCAGACTTATTGGTATTGAAAGAAATGATTTTGTTGCATATTGCTCTTTCTAATTTACTTAGTAGAGAATGAACTTTGGATACTTTAAACCAGAAATCACTTCAGTTATATGGACTCTGTAGGAGAATGCTTTTGACTTACTTCAGAACTGGTAGGAAACTGGATGTGTTATGATTTTGTTTCATTTCAGTACTGCATGGAACTTTCTTCCCAAGGGAACTGTTTCTGAAATTTCTGTTGAGTTAATTATATCCATTAGTTCTTTTTGCTTGTTGAGATGTTCTGAGAATGAAAACAGAACTATAATTTTTGTAGCACTTCAATTGTAATAAGATTGATTTTTGGTTGATTCATGTATTTTCTGTGGGTAAATGCTAACGATGTATAACTTATAGTTATGTAACATTTCCTGTTGCAGCCAGGACAACAGCATCATCAGAAGATACTGTGACAGGGGTTATTGATGGGAAATTTGAAAATGGATATCTTGTTACCGTCATCAAAGGCTCAATGAAGCTAAGGGGTGTACTTTATCAGGCTCCAATGAACCCAGTACGTGGAGTTCCACAAGTCCCACAAAATTATAGCATGTTGGTTAACAGAAATGAGAGTGCCTCAGCTATTATTCCTGGTGTCCACCGTCGTCGCCGAAGGAAGAAATCTGAGATTAAAAGGAGGGATCCTGCTCATCCAAAACCCAACAGAAGCGGATATAACTTTTTCTTTGCAGAACAGCATGCAAGGCTGAAGCCACTTCATCCTGGGAAGGATAGAGAGATAAGTAGAATGATTGGTGAACTCTGGAATAAATTGAAGGAGTCTGAGAAATCAGTAAGGACCAATAATTTTATTATACGAGTTCAACTCATACAACATCATGTCCAAACAGTTTCAACAGGCACTGACACTTTTGCAATCTATAGGTGTATCAGGAGAAAGCCGTTAAAGACAAGGAGCGATATCGAATAGAAATGGAGGATTACCGGGAGAGGTTGAAAGCTGGTCAAGTCATTAGTGATGCAGTGCCACTACAACAGCGGTTTCCTGAAGCCAATACAAGCATGGTTGAATCAGATGCAAAGATCGAAGAAACCGAGCCGAGAGACTCTCCACAAACACCAGATGAGAGCAATGAGAGTAATTCTAGCAAAACAGATAAGTGATTCTGATGATGATATAGCTGCAAAAAGAAGGATCTGGATGTAGAGGCATCTGTAGGAGCTGGAGCTGGAGTCGGTGCCTAGCATTGTGGACATGGAGATGTTTTCTGATGAGAGTATGCATCTGAGGAAGCATGAGAATGAGGTGGTGAAAAAGAAGAAAGCTTAGGTAGTAATCTAACCTAGACAGAAAGTATCGATAGCGAATGAAGACAGCTTAAATTCTCTTTGACCAAGTAGGACTGACTGTTTATTTCTATCAAAGCAAAGCTTTTGCTTCGAGTATAGTTTTCTATATTTAACTTATAAATTTCTCATGTATTAGCTTAAGTTAGTTGCTTTCCAAATTTCGTTACTTGTTTCATGGTAAGTGGTGCAGAAATTTGTATTTACTTTGTTCAACGGTTCAGTTATATGTTCCCATGAGTTGCCAAAGATGTGGTCGATTTTCATTCGAGGGTGTTTTTTCTTCAAGGAAGATGCTACACTTGCGACCTTCACAAATCAAGATTTATTTATTCTGTGGATTTGTCGGAAATATTGTCGACCGAAGAAATCAGTAAGGACCAATAATTTTATTATACGAGTTCAACTCATACAACATCATGTCCAAACAGTTTCAACAGGCACTGACACTTTTGCAATCTATAGGTGTATCAGGAGAAAGCCGTTAAAGACAAGGAGCGATATCGAATAGAAATGGAGGATTACCGGGAGAGGTTGAAAGCTGGTCAAGTCATTAGTGATGCAGTGCCACTACAACAGCGGTTTCCTGAAGCCAATACAAGCATGGTTGAATCAGATGCAAAGATCGAAGAAACCGAGCCGAGAGACTCTCCACAAACACCAGATGAGAGCAATGAGAGTAATTCTAGCAAAACAGATAAGTGATTCTGATGATGATATAGCTGCAAAAAGAAGGATCTGGATGTAGGGGCATCTGTAGGAGCTGGAGCTGGAGTCGGTGCCTAGCATTGTGGACATGGAGATGTTTTCTGATGAGAGTATGCATCTGAGGAAGCATGAGAATGAGGTGGTGAAAAAGAAGAAAGCTTAGGTAGTAATCTAACCTAGACAGAAAGTATCGATAGCGAATGAAGACAGCTTAAATTCTCTTTGACCAAGTAGGACTGACTGTTTATTTCTATCAAAGCAAAGCTTTTGCTTCGAGTATAGTTTTCTATATTTAACTTATAAATTTCTCATGTATTAGCTTAAGTTAGTTGCTTTCCAAATTTCGTTACTTGTTTCATGGTAAGTGGTGCAGAAATTTGTATTTACTTTGTTCAACGGTTCAGTTATATGTTCCCATGAGTTGCCAAAGATGTGGTCGATTTTCATTCGAGGGTGTTTTTTCTTCAAGGAAGATGCTACACTTGCGACCTTCACAAATCAAGATTTATTTATTCTGTGGATTTGTCGGAAATATTGTCGACCGAAATGTCGGGATAATATATGCTTAACAAATGCCAAATAGGTTGGGATATAAAAGTAGGGAGAAAAAGTAAGGATATGAAGCATTTTCCTTTTTTATAATGGAATGCTTGTTGGATGAAATTTGCGCTCCTCTGTTTCAGGTAATTGGAGCCTTGTTCTTCTCTTCCTATTAAATGCAATTTCTAAGACCGTCACTAGG